TGTGTTGGTGTACTCTTTCTACCATTCCTACTATATTTTAAAGTCCTTGAGGACAGAGGCCATCCATATGTCTTTGAAACCACCACATCTATCACAGTGTTAGGCATGGAATACACACTCAATAAAGATGTACTTATTTTGACCCTGTGTCACTTTGGTTGTATCACTGAGGAAGTTAGGTGGGAAACTGAGTCAAATCTGAAGGTTTCACAATTACTTCAATCAGAACTTCCTTTTAAAATGCTGGTTCATCAAGTTCTCTTTTGAAGGACAATTTATTATATTAATTGTGCTAATCTTGATATTGAAAATCACATACTTGACATAGCATTATTTATAGTCAGGCACAGTTCTTTCAAAAGCCTGGTGATTTCATAGGAAACCAAATATTCCTCCCTTATCATTCCCCCACAAGCATTCTTCCCTGTACTCTAGAAATGATATTACGTAGTTTTTAGTAAGTGGTAGCCGGGTGGGGGAGCTGCCATTACAGCAAGGTTGACTTCCCAGCTTCAACCTCACAAGCTCAAGTAGTCCTGCCACCTAGCCCCAGCCTCCCAAGTGGCTGGGACTGCAGGCTGGCTGCTACCGCGGCCAGCTAATTTTTGTATTTTTTGTAGAAATAGGGTTTCAATATGTTGCCTAGGCTGGTCTCGAACTCCCAGACTCAAGGGATCTTCTTGCCTTAGTTTCCCAAGGTGCTGGGATAACAGGTGTAAGCAACCACATCCAACTCCAATCTCATTTTCAAATACTCTCCCTCCCCTCGATATTCCAGCCACATGACCTGTCTTTTAATTCTTTGAACACTCAAGTCTATTCTTACCACAGTGTCTCAAAGTACAGTATATACCCCTCCAAGAAAGATTTTTCACAACTGATTCCTTGATCCTCAGGTCTTGTTTTAATGTGACCTCCTTCCTTGACCGTAAAAGTAAAGTAGGTTTGTCCCTCCGCTTTTTGCCTCTTATTATCCAGTTTTTATCCTTTGAAGCACTTATTTGAATTTATAATTGAATATTTTATCACCTTCTCTGTCTTTTTCAGACTATAAACTCCTAAGAGCAGAGATATTTGTCTTGTTCATGATGGTATCTCTAGTGTCTATCACAGAGCATAGCACAAAATAGGACCTCAATAACATTTTGTGGGTTTTTTTTTGAGACAGCATTGCTCCATCGCCTAGGCTGGAGTGCAGTGGCACAATCTTAGCTCTCCGAAACCTCTGCCTCCTGGGTTCAAGCAATTCTCATGCCGCAGCCTCCTGAGTAGTAGTTAATAAATATTTTTTGAATGAATGAATGAACAAATGCTTTAAGAGAGATTTATCCTTTGCTCTCTGACTTGCTTTCCTATTTTCCCATTTTAGATTCTTCCTGGAGGCTGAGGAGCATTGTCTTCCATTCAGAGGATTCCTTTAGCAAATACAGATAAATTAGTTTGGTGGAGGTGGAGGTGGGAGAGAAGTTGGGTAACTAATTTGTTCCTACCTACAGGATAAGGTATGAAATGTACCAAGAATGAAGAAAAATGTGCCGAATGCAGGTTGGGGGTCATGGTGAATTCAATAACCCAGTTCCAGGGAGTAGAAATTTATCCTTACAATCTAAAGGAACTACTAATTTGGAGCTGTCCATAGCTCTGTAGGTGAAAGATTATAATCCCTACCAAATAGGTCATATGCCATCCCTGGGTAAGACCAATCATGGGTTGTATCATTTTGAAAAGATTACGTAAGCCCTACCTAGCAGAAGAGAGTTCCTGGGTCCCTCAGGAAAAGACAATGTAGATCAGGAACTGCCTTCCCCATACTCCTCAGTCTATCTGAGCCCAAAGTAGGGTACCAAGCAGCCCCCTGGCATTCATTGAGTATTGCTGATAATGACCTTATTTAGATAGCATGTTTGGGGAGACTGGACCCCTGGTTTGATTTTAACTTTCCATAGAATTCTAACATCAGGTGTTTCACTACCAAATGTACCAAATCTCAGCTCAGCATATGTGGACAGAAGAAAGCTGCCATCCTACCACAGTTTGTTTTCCCTCTAAGATTTCTATTTTCTTTCATTTTTTTTTAATTTGAGACAGGATTTTGCTGGGTCACCCAGGCTAGAGTGCAGTGATGTCATCATAGATCACTGCAGTCTCGAACTCCTGGGCTCAAGTAATCCGCCCACCTCGGCCTTCTGAGTAGCTGGGACTACAGGTGCTCACCACCATACCTGGCTACTTTTTTTTCTCTGAGATGGGGTTCTAAGTATGTTTCCCAGGCTGGTCTCAAATTCAGATTCCTAGTGTCAATTGTTTTAGGTACTGCACAACTGTCTGGCAGTGATATCACTGGGCTCTGTGGTTTCTAGCAATGCTAACGGAATGTTTATGAAACACTCTCCATCCTTGGCTAGATCCTTACCTCACAAAGTTGGCAAGATGAGAGTCACACTTTGAAATCACGTTTGTGCAAAAATTGCTACAATCAGCTAATGACTTCCTGGCTTGAATCCCTTCTTGGTATCCAGAAAGTCAGCAACAATGAATCCTGTCTCCTGTCAAATGGGACGAGACCTTTCTTTGCTACCTATTGGATGTATTCTCTTTTTGAACCAGCTCGATCTTAGGAAACAGTCTTCCCTTCAGTAGCAGGTCTTTGAAGAACATTAGCAGAGAAGTTTCTTCAGGAGACAGACCAACCAGAACTGCTAGCCAAACATGGCTGCCTTCTTTCTCCTTTCACATGTGAGAAAGAAAGGAGTTTTTTTGATTTGGTGCTATGGTTTGGATATCTGTTGCTTCCAAAAGTCATATTAAAACTTGAACACCAGTGTTGGAAATGGGGCCTAATGGAAGGTGTTTGGGTCATGGGGGTGGATTCCTCATGAATAGAGCAATGCCCTCCCTAGGAGGTGAGTGAGTTCTCACTCTATTAGTTCCCATGAGAGCTTTTTGTTTAAAAGACACTGACACCACCAACCTTTCTCTTGCTTTGTCTCTCACCATGTGATCTCTGCACATGCTGGCTCCCCTTCACTTTCCACCATGAGTGGAAGCTTCCTAGGGCCCTCACTAGATGCAAATACCCAATCTTGAACTCTTCAGTCATCAGAATTGTGATCCAAATGAATCTCTTTTCTTTATAAACTACCTAGTTTCTGATATTCCTTTACAACAACACAAAATGGACCAAGACACTCAGCTTCCCAGGCAACGTCAACTTTCCGAACAAAGTCTGTGTAAGATGATTTGGGTAGCAAATTATAGAAGACCTAACCAAAAGTAGCTTAAACAATAAGGACGTTTATTATTGTGCATAACATGAAGTGTAGAGGTAGAGCAATTTCAAGGTGGATTAATTCGCTGACATAGATACAGCATGGGTCCAGCCCAGCTATTCTGCAGTTTTCCTCCAAGTCCTAAGATCTTCTGTGGGTCAGGTCTCATATGCTATCAACAATCTTCAGAGGCAGAAAAAGAGAATGTTCTAATCTTGTGCCCCTCCATCAGATGTCCCCCTATCTTTCCTTGTCAAGAATCGGCATAGTTTACCCCTGATTAAACAATCACCAGACAAGAAAAGGCCACCATAAATTGGCCTAAACCAATGGAGATTTACCTTCTATGGTTGGGTAGAGACCAATTCTTAAAAAGAACATGACCCCTCAAAGGAGGGTTACTAAAATCAGGGTGTTGATAGAAAGGTAGAACGGGGGAAATTACTCCCTGCTGGGCAACCAACAGTGTCTGCAACAGAGGAGGTTAGACATGTTGACCTCTAAGTAGCAGGTAATGAGTAAAATTACTCCAATTTTATGTTTAGCAAAATAAGCCAATGTAAGACAAGGACGCTTCTTAATCAGAGCTACAATTTGGTTGCAGAGATAAAGCCTTTTCAAAAGCATTAGCATAAGATGACTTTATAATCATTACCCATATGGGCTGCAACAGAAGCAAAGCACTACCAAAATCTTCTAGTATAGAAGAGGTTAAAGTAAGCTCACCAGTGCAAAACAAACAAAATCTTCTTGTAATGCTAGGTCACAAGGTTTATACACATCCTAATTCCAGATAAATGTCAAGAGTGAAATGGTAATATTTGGCATCAATTTCAGTCTCTGTTACAAAATTGACCAATGCCTCCCTCTGGAGAATACAATACTTTTATTAATGGACAAAAACACACAATTCACAACTTCCCCAGAGACTCTGCTAAGGTTTCATAAAGATTTAGTTTTTTTCTTTTTTTTTTTTTTTTTTTAGCTTGAAAACTTCTAATTCCTTGCAAAAGAAATAAATAGGTAAGAGAACTGTATGGCCCTGAAGACATGCCAATAAGTTTCCCTTGCCAAGATTTATATTAAACAAAAAATTTTATGATCAAATTGTTGCTCACTGGTGACTCATTATTCATTTATGTAACCTTAGGTTGGCCAGTCTCTCTCCCATTCATGCTCTCTGAGGTCTGGCAGGACCAGAGGTGCTCAAAGCTTAGGTCTCCACTGCTTGGTATTCTCAGAAGGGCCGATAAGGGAGTACTTTAGGCAGAATTATGTTCCCCCTAAGAGGCACATGTTGATGATCTAACCACTGGGACCTCAGAATGTGACTATATTTGGAGTGAGGGTCCTTTAAAAGGTGACTGAGTTAAAATGAGGTCATTAGAGTGGGCCCTAATCCATTTTGACTATTGTCCTTATAAGAAGAGGAAATTGGGACACAAAAAGAGATACCAAGGGCACACAACTGAGACACCATGTGAAAACATAGGGAGAAGTCAAGGAGAGAGGCCTCAAGAGAAACCAAACCTGAAGACACCTTGGTGTTGGTCTTCCAGCCCCCAATACTGTAAGACAGTAAGTTTCTGTTGTTTAAGCCAACCAGGCTGTGTATTTTGTTATGGCAGCTCCAGTAAATGAACACAGGGAGCAAAGGGGCATAACCTCAGGAAGCTTCCTTTAATTTCTCTACCTCCTCCATCCCAGGAAGTCCTCACCATTCAGTCTTACCTTTACACTGCTGCTGGCCTTCCAACAGCTGCGGGGTCCTCAGCCCATGACGAATGCAAACTGACGCTCGATTCCTCAGCGATGAACACTGAACACTGTCCACATTACAAAATCTCTTCCTTCCCTGACTCTCCTTCTCTTCGGAGAAGACTAGGGTGTGTTCTGGACTCAGGCCACAGAAGCAAATTTACCCTATAAGAGCCTGGAAAAGAAGCAGTCAGTCACGGAGCTGCAGTTCAATTACAAACAAACTCACCTGAGAAAACAGCAAGGCGTTTTCACAGGGCAGGCCAATTACCTAAAGCACGTCTCCACTCTGTGTTGTCTAAGAGAATAAGGCTCCTACCCCTCAGCAAGAGCTGGCTGGAAACAGAGGGATCAGGTAAGTAAACCTTCAGGAGGACTGAGTTTCAAATGTGGGTCCCTGCCAGACAGGGATTGTATGTCCTCAAATAGATACTCCTCCCTGTGACCCATGATATCAGCAGCGTGTGGCCCTTTTACAGGGAGAAGTGGAAATACCCATCTACAGTTAGGAACTGGGGATTACTATGAGAGAAGGGAGGAAGAAACACACAGTGTCTAAAAGTTAGCAGACTACCAGACTTAAAAGTCCTGATCCATCATTTACTAACTACACAGCCTGAACATATTTTCCCACATCTCTAAACCACCATCTACTCATTTTTAAAAATGGGAATATGGCCGGGCACGGTGGCTCGTGCCTGTAATCCCAGCACTTTGGGAGGCCAAGGTGGGTGGATCACGAGGTCAGGGGTTTGAGACCATCTTGGCCAACATAGTAAAATCCCATCTCTACTAAAAAAAAATACAAAAAAAATAGCTGGGTGTGGTGGCAAGCACCTGTAATTCCAGCTCTTTGGGAGGCTGAGGCAGAAGAATCACCTGAACCCAGGAGGCGGAAGTTGCAGTGAGCCGAGATTGCACGACTGCACTCCAGCCTGGGCAACGGTGCAAAACTCTGTCTCAAAAAATAAATAAATAAAGGGAATACTAGTAGCTATCTCAACGAACTGTTGGATGGAATTATTATAGTAAAGCTAGCAGATTATAGGGTACATAGGCAAGTGAATGGCAGCAACAACAACAGCAATAGTGTTGGTAGTTGTTAATAAAATGAATGATCAAGCAGAATTTAGCATTTCAAGAGCTCTGACGATAGGGCTGAGCTCTGCACTTCTTGGGGATAGTAGAGGTAGAAAGGAGGAAGTCGAGATGTGGGTGAGGAAGCTGGGGGCCAGGTCAGAAGGTCCTTCTGGAGTGGAGGAATGTTGAGTGGAGATAAGACCTTCAGATAGAGGGAGAGGTTGTAGGGAAACCTTCTTGTGGTACAGGATTTTCTCTCCAATTTTAGCTTAGTATGTTAATGAAATGAGTTAATGCTCTCCTCATTAGAAACAGTCAAGTTACTTCATCTCAGAAATAATCTTCTGCAGGAACTATCACACTTAGAATCATAACAACAAAACTACCTCAGATACATGCCATGGCAATAGCCCAAGACACAGAGCTCTCAAAAGTACCAGAGCCTACTATTTTGAGTAGATTGAAAAGTAGGAGCCCCTCTAAATTCAGTCAACAATCAGGCCCCGAGCTGCAGAGTCCTTCTAGCCAAGGAAGTTCATCTGGAAAGCAAGCCACCCAGAGAAAGTAAGCCAGCCAGACACTCACTGACTAGCCCAGCATCAGCAGTGTGCTTGGTTGCTTCTCAGACTGAAAGCTAGACTAGGGAGACCAGTGCTAGAAAACGAATCATAAAGCATGAAGGGTATTTTCTTTTCCATTAACAGAACATTCACACAGTCCCTAGTATCTATAAAAGTCAGCAGCTGTCAATAAAGAAACGATTATCCAACAACAAAAAAAAAATTACAGTGAAACCATTTACTAGGGAAATAATTCTAATTTGAACCTCATTATAAATCTGTATTAAATGATCTCCATATGGATTAAGGATTTAATATTTCTATAAAGAAAGAAAATGGGAGGAGAAGGAAGGAAAGGAGGGGCAGGAGGAGGCAGAGGGGCATAAACAAGCTAGAAGAAAATTTAAGTGTACATTTAACTTATCTTGGGCTGCTGTGGCAATTTTAAAATATGGCCACAGATTCCATGCTGTACCATATTCCATGAAACCCAATTGAATGTGAGTAGGCTTGAGACTGCTTTCACCAACAGAGTAGCTGACATCCAAGGCTTTGTCATAAAAGGGCTTCCTCTTTGGTTCAGCTTCCTCTTTGGTTCCTAGAACACTTGCTTTTGGAGTCCTGGGCTGCCAAGTAAAGGTTCTAACTACCCCAAGATCACTGGATGACCCACCATCCCCACCAAGGTTCCAGACATGTGAGCTACTCCACCTTGGACTCTCCAAACTAGCCTATCCACCAGGTAATTAACATTGAATGGCTTCTGTCAATACCACAAGTAATGCAGAAAACCCACCAGCCGAGCCCTGCTCAAATCCTTAACCTACAAAAATTATAAAATATAATAAAGGCGTTGTTGTTTTAAGCTATTACATTTTGAGGTCACTTGATATGCAGTAATAGATAAAACTGGACTGGTACAGAAGGACCCCCAAGCCCAAAAGCTCTTTAGGAATCCAAGGAAAGAATAATAGATTTGAAACTGTAGACTGCTCTATGTCAAAAGTAATCACCACGAACAAAATTAAAAGGCAATGACAAACTTGAGAACCATCCTTGTAATACATCTAACAAACAAGTAGAAAAGCACAACAGAAAAAAAATGTACAAATAACAAAAAGCGGTTATCAGAAAAAAGCTAAAAAGACAAAAAAAGAGAAATGATATTTAATTTTAATAGCAATTACTAATAAAATAAATATGAATTAGATAATATGATACCTTTTGCCTTTAAATTTGTGAAGATTTTTTAAATGATAACATTCAGTACCTACAAGAGTGCATTGTAGCAGAAATTTACATACCACTGGTGGGAATGTAAATTGGTAATCTTTCTGGAGAATAATCTAATTATAAAATCAAATCAAAAGCCTTAAATGCCTTTTGCTCAAGTAATCCCAGTTCTAAAACTTAATGAGACATGTGGCCAAACATTTCTTACATTCTCATCACAGCACTATTTATAATAATGAAAAGTTATGAACAACAAAACATTTAACGGTAGAACTGTTGCTAAATTTCACATAATGAAATACAATGAAGCTATCAAAAGTCATGCTCTCTCCAAAATATTCATTGCCAGGGGAATACATTTATGATATAATTAAAGTGGAAAAAAGTAGTTAAAAGTATGCAAAAAGAATAGCCACAGCATCATTTACATACATGATAGGCAGATTTTAAAAATGAATGAAAGGAGCATGCTAACATATTAACAGTAGTCTCTGGATAAAGGGTTTAAATATGATTTCCTTCTTTCTTCTTGTCTGTGTTTTCCTAATTTTCCAACAGGAAACTATATTAATTTTATAATCAGAAGAGCAGTTTTCTTTTCAGTAAATAATTATTTTGAGTTTTGCCGCACCCCAACAAACTTGAACACAGGATTTCAAGCACTAAAGTTTTCCCAGAAGCCAGGAATGCTCCCCCAGAGACCTGCTGTGGTCTGTTTTAGAGGTGTCTGCTTTCTAAGTCATGCCACATGGATCCCCAAGCTCCAACATTATCTCTCTATTATCTCTCCCTTTTCCCCACCATACCTCCTGACCACATCCCCCTACGCAAGTAAACATTCTTATTCCTTAAATGCCCTTCTGTTAGCATGGAAATCACAAAAAGACACCCTTAAGCCAAATAGGGTCTATAGATCTTTCTTTGATGCCCCTTTCCAAATGTGTTAATTTTTGTTTTGCTAGTTGTCAATATTAAAAAATAAGGAGAGATTTTCACTTCCAGGAAGATGGAATTGACATACTTTTACCCTATTCCTGTCACTGAGGGCAACTAAAAATCCTGGACATTATATGTAAAATAAAAATGACTCCAAAATGTAAAGAGAAGAAGCCAGATTAGATAGGGACTTAGGACCTGAGAAACAGCACATTAGTGAATTCCATGGGTTTTCTTTTTGACTCATGCATCCCAGACTTGGAACCGAAGAAGCCCACAACCCAGAAACACCAACTGGAGCAGACAAAAATAGGGCCAAGAAAAGTGTGCTATCCCTAGCCAGAAAAACAGGAAAAAAGCAACCTAGCAAAACAAAACTTATAGACAATAATGGCTCTACTCCAGCCAAACGCTAAGGAGGTAGTGGGGGGAAACGTGACCCCACTTCACCCACAACAGAAAGCCCACTACAGAACTTCAACTTCCAACATCAGGAGGCTGTGTCACAAGGCACACCAACCACCTGATTGGGGTGGTGTCAGTGAAAGCCAAGGAATGAGCCCGGATTTTCATCTACTATGACCAGGAGGCAGCTCTTAGGCCAAATAAGGGTCTATAGATCTCCTTTCTTGATGCCCCTTTCCAAAATGTGTTAATTTTCTTCCCAATGTGGGTAGCCTGGAGTTTCACCCCTACCCAGCAGTAAGGAGGTACATGTTTCACTCTCCAATGGGAATGTGTGAGAGGAAGCCTCACAGAGTATAAGAACTTTCACCACTAGCCAGCAGTAATGAAGACACCCCCACCACTGGAGTCCCCATCCCACCAGCAGTAATAAGGACACCATTTGAGCAGGGTAAGAGGGGTCTGCCACCTTCTAACTTTCAGGTCAGGGTAGAAGTCCAGGCTCACCACTTGGCCTTCGACAGGTGGTGAGGGGTCAAACGAGTCCTTATTACTGCTGGTGGGATCAGAACTATAAGTGAGTTTGGCAAGGTCTCAGGATTCAAAATAAACATGCAAAAACCAATTGTATTTCTAGACACTAGCAATAAACATATGGACTCTAAAATTAAAAATATAATATCATTTACAATTGCATAAAAATGAAATCGGTAAAACTCTAAGAAAACATATATAGAGGTTCTATTTGGAAAACTACACAACTCGGATAAAAAGATATCAAAGAAGACCTAAATAAATGGAATTAGCAAAAGGATAGACTCACATATTAAAGAAACGGAATGGAGAATCCAGAAGGAGACCCACTCAAATATGCCCAATATATTTTTGATAAATGTGCTAAAGCAATTCAGTGGAAAAAAGGCTTTCAACAAGTGATTCTGAAGTAAATAAACATCCATAA